ATGTTTTCCAAAGCCTGCAGTCTTTGTGATTTTATTCAAACTGCTGATCAGTTGTATTAATGAATCAAATCAAAGTCAATATCACAAAACACGTTTGTCTCAGTGGGATTCACAGATAAACAAACATAGATGACGGTGTAAAAGATTATTACAATGACTAGAAAATTATAAACGCCATGATAGAACGCGAAATATAAAAAAATGTAAATAAATAAACATATATATAATCGTCTGATCACAGCTAGATCAGAAACTTGGTTTATCACCAGGTAGGTTGACACGTACGAGGAGTTAGACTTGGTGTCGTGGTGCCTACATCAAAGTTTTTGTTGTTGTTGAAAAACACAGAACTATTTTAAGAACACTGTATAACATTAGAAAATAAAATAAAGCAGTATTTAGATCTGGATATTACCTTGAATATAACAGCTAGGCCTGGTTAGAAAAGCTAGCAATGCTAACGGCTAACCAAACTGTTGTTGTTTGTAAATGTAAACATTGCACCATTGAGTTACACACGTTTTTAAATCTGGACAAAAAGCTTATTTTTATTGCTTATAGTAGTTGTTTGTGTGTATGAGCAATGGTTCTGAGCGTCGTCTATTTGGTTTTATAACAATAGTTGATTGAAGTGACAGTTTAGATGACCTCTTGTGTGTTTAAATATTATATTTACATTTCGTTGGTGTGTGACTTGTTGCTCACATGTCAGATATGTGGTATCAGTTTTGTGATTAACATTATTCCCATTTATGTTCTGACCATCAGTCCAACTTGAACACAAGCAGTATTTAGATCTGGACCTGACCTTGACTCCTCTCTCCTCTCTCCCTCTCTCCTCTCAGGGGTTCTTTCTGCTGCCACACATTCCCTGCTTCCCTGAGAGATGTCCACCCCTGACCCCCCGATGGGAGGGACCCCTCGTCCGGGACCCTCCCCAGGACCGGGGCCATCTCCGGGAGGCATGATGGGTCCGAGCCCCGGCCCCTCTCCAGGCTCCACCCACAGCATGATGGGACCCAGCCCGGGGCCCCCAGGATCCGGACACCCCCACCCGGCACAGGGGCCCTCGGGATATCCTCAGGAGAACATGCACCAGATGCACAAAGTACGAAAGCTTTTATTGCTTTATTTAAGGTTGAGAATATTCAGCTTTCATTTTCCTTAGAAGTTAATATATATATATACCGTATGTAAATTTGATAAATGGTACCGCAAATGTGTATTTAATTACAGAACGTAAGTAAAGGTAATACACTTCATTCCACCACTACAAAATACCCACAGTCAGTGAGCAGAAGGCAGACACACACACACACACACACACACACACACACACACACACACACACACACACACACACACACACACACACACACACACACACACACACACACACACACACACACACAGAGTTGGAACAAGTACTCAGATCCTTTATCTAAGTAGAAGTAGAAATACTACAAGTGAAAGTCCTCATTCCAAATGTTACTTGAGTAAAATAAGTTTTATATACTCAAAAGTGAAAGTATTGAGTATGCTGATTGGCTTTTAACAGAACTATACTGTTATTAGAGGTGTTATATTTGTATATCGCGCTTTGAGACCTAATATCTTCTTAGATTTGGGTTTCGTTATATATATATGTGTTGCTTTTACGATCGATTAGTTCTGTAATTGTCTATATTCAGCTTTAATTCTCCATAGAAATTAATATATGTACCGTATGTAAATATAACAAGTAGTACTGCAAATGTGTTCTTAATTACAGAACATGAGTAAAGCTAAAGCACTTAATTCCTCCACTTAAAAAAACCGTAAATGCAGCTTCACTTGAAAATATGTTTATTTATCAAAATTCTCTGTTTGGTTTTTAGCAGCCAATGGAAGCCATGCATGAGAAAGGAATGCCCGACGACCCCCGCTACGCCCAGATGAAGGGCATGAGCATGAGGCCGGGGGGGCACAGCGGCATGGGACCCCCTCCAAGCCCCATGGACCAACACTCCCAAGGTAACATCTCATAATGACCCACTTCACACTCATACTTATGATTCAAGAAGCAGACTTTGATTGTCATGTGTGCATACTGTAGCTACAGCGCAGATATATCAGTGACAGTCTGAGCTCACAGGGTCCTCAGTGCAACACGATGGAACTGATACATCAGAATAGAAATAGTGCAAGGAGAGTCTATACACAAGTCATTGGAATATGATACATTAGAAAAATATGAAATGACTGGATAGTGTTTATGGATGATAAGCTGCCTTCATCAGATATTGTGCTTCCTGTGATCTGAATATTTCACCAGTCCATATTCAGATTTAGATATTTATATATCTTTGTGCTGCAGTTCAATCCTCAGATTTCTAGAGTAATGAATATCATAAAAATGTAGCAACACTAAAAGAAAACCTTTCTGTCCCTGAAAAGCTCCACACAGGGAGAGCAGCTAACTCTGACATACAGACCTGAAGAGTGTGTGTGTGTGTGTGTGTGTGTGTGTGTGTGTGTGTGTGTGTGTGTGTGTGTGTGTGTGTGTGTGTGTGTGTGTGTGTGTGTGTGTGTGAGAGAGAGAGAGAGAGAGAGTGTGTGTGTGTGTGTGTGTGTGTGTGTGTGTGTGTGTGTGTGTGTGTGTGTGTGTGTGTGTGTGTGTGTGTGTGTGTGTGTGTAACCCATCCAGCCGGTTTCTCTTCTTCTTGTGTTGCTCATGAGCAGACAGCAGGCAGGAGGGGGTTTCCCCTTTCAAACAACAACAAAAGACACAGTCAGCGAGCAGAGGGAAGAGAAACACACGTACAGAAGAAGATCCTTTACTGTAGTGAAAGTAGAAATATTACAAGTGAAAGTCCTCATTCAAAATGTTACTTAAGTAAAAGAACACAATCATTTTAAAAGTGAAAGTATGCTGTTTGGCTTTTGACAGAATTATACTATTCGTAGAGGACTTATATTTTTGATATCACGCTTTGAGACCTAATATCTTCTAAGATTTGGGCTTCGTTGCCTCGTATGTGTTGCTTTTCCCCTAAGGCTGCAAAGTGATATCCTGTTCTTAACTTAACACCATGTTCTTAACTTAACACCCTGTTCTTAACTTAACACCCTGTTCTTAACTTAACACCCCGTTCTTAACTTAACACCCCGTTCTTAACTTAACACCCCGAACACCCCGTTCTTAACTTAACACCCCGTTCTTAACTTAACACCCCGTTCTTAACTTAACACCCCGTTCTTAACTTAACACCCCGTTCTTAACTTAACACCCCGTTCTTAACTTAACACCATGTTCTTAACTTAACACACACTGTCATTAAATGTCGTGTTTAAATATGATGTGACGGCACCACAAGTCAACCCTTCAATATCAATATTGGCCATCATTTGATTATTTTCATACCCATGATGCATCTGTCTCCCAGGTTACCCCTCCATTGGGCGGTTCAAGATGTTCTTAATGTCGGCCATTATTATAATAATAATAATACATTACATTTTTATAGCGTTTTCCCCAAAATCAGAAACAGAAACGGCACAAAGAACGCCTTATTTATTTGATTTTCATACCCATGATGCATCTGTCCTCTGTCCCCCAGGTTACCCCTCTCCGTTGGGCGGTTCAGACCACGCCCCCAGCCCAGTCCCATCTAACGGCCCCCCCTCTGGTCCCATGATGCCCGGAGGCCCCCCCGGCCCCATGGAGGGCGGCGGGGACCAGAACCAGGGGATGGGCCAGCCGAACCGTGGCGCTCCTCAGGGTCCAGTGGGTCCAGGGGGTGTCGTGGGAGGACCAGGAGGACCAGTTGGACCAGGTGGAGCTGGAGGCCCGGCCCCCTTCAACCAGAACCAGCTGCACCAGCTCCGGGCTCAGATCATGGCGTACAAGATGCTGGCCCGCTCCCAGCCGCTGCCCGACCACCTGCAGATGGCCGTGCAGGGCAAGAGGCCCATGCCCGGGATGCAGCAGCCCAACATGCCCAACATGGCTCCGTCTGCTGGGCCCGGAGGACCAGGAGCCGGACCAGCACCCGCAAACTACAACAGACCCCATGGTGAGTGGCGTCAGGAAAATATATATTTCTCTAATGTGTCTCCTGACAAAATAAATTCACTTTAAAGGTCCCCTATTATGCAACATCCTCTTCTTCATGTCTCTTCTACATCAACATGTGTCCCCTCTTCTTCATGTCTCTTCTACATCAACATGTGTCCCCTCTTCTTCATGTCTCTTCTGCATCAATATGTGTCCCCTCTTCTTCATGTCTCTTCTACATCAACATGTGTCCCCTCTTCTTCATGTCTCTTCTACATCAACATGTGTCCCCTCTTCTTCATGTCTCTTCTACATCAACATGTGTCCCCTCTTCTTCATGTCTCTTCTACATCAACATGTGTCCCCTCTTCTTCATGTCTCTTCTACATCAACATGTGTCCCCTCTTCTTCATGTCTCTTCTACATCAACATGTGTCCCCTCTTCTTCATGTCTCTTCTACATCAACATGTGTCCCCTCTTCTTCATGTCTCTTCTACATCAACATGTGTCCCCTCTTCTTCATGTCTCTTCTACATCAACATGTGTCCCCTCTGTGGAAAGAGACTCTGAAAGTTTCAGGAACAAAGATTCTCTCTCTTTTTGATCCATTTCTATAAAAACCTGTCTAAAAATGAGCTGATCAGATTTTGGTCACTTTA